TATTTCATAAAGACGGTTAACCAAATTAATTACGGAATTCAAATTTGCTAATTAAGCACTAAATAATGACGAAAACCGGATGTTTAGTACTACTATAGTTTTTGTTTTGGCACCACGCCATTTTTTGTTTTTTTCGCAAATAACTTTTTATTCTTAAAATCGGCAACAAAAGTGATTGAAACACTAACTTCTACTAAGGAAGCCCTAAAGAAGGATATAAATTTCATCGTTAGTGCTTTCATAATTTTCTGGCTAAAATTTGACCTCTAAATATTTCTTTAGCGTATTACGATTTTTTCATACGACGGTTATCCAAATTAATAACGGAATTTAAATATATTAATTAAGCACTAGATAATGGCGAAAACCGGATGTTTAGTACTACTCTAATTTTTGTTTTGGCACGTCGCCAATATTTATTTATTTTTGTTTTTTTTGCCAATAACTTTTTATAAATTCGGCAACAAAAGTGATTGAAGCACTAACCTCTACTAACGAAGCACTAAAGAATGATATAAGTTTCATCGTTAGTGCTTCCAAAAGTTCGTTCAACTTCACGCTTAAATCGTGACGTCATAATTTTTATTTAGCTCATAACTTTTTTCCATATGGCGGTTAACTAAATTAATAACGGAATTTAAATACATTAACTAAGCATTAAATAATGGCGAAAACCGGATGTTTAGTAATACTCTAGTTTTTGTTTTGGCACGTCGCCAATATTTGTTTATTTTTTTTTTCGCCAATAACTTTTTATTCTTAAATTCGGCAACAAAACTGATTGAAGCATTAACCTATACTAACGAAGCACTAAAGAATGATATAAGTTATCGTTAGTGCTTTCAATCAACTTTTAAGCGTGAAGTTGGCACAAATTTTTATTTTTGCCTATAACTTTTTTTCCTTAAAATCGGCTACTATACGGATTGAAGCACTAATAAGCACTAACGAAGTTCTAAAAAATGACATATGATTCATCGTTAGTGATTCCAAATGTTCACCCAACTTCACGGAGCTTTCAAATTTATTTATGAATTCTATTTGATAATAAGCTTATATATATATATACTACAATTTCATAACAATAATTTACACACCATTGCCTAAAACTCTATTTTTTTACATTATGGGGATGTTTTTTTTAGAGAAAAAATATTATAATAACATTACATAAGAAACGCTAGTTTATATAAAATAATAATATTTTAATTATGAAGGCACAAAAAAAAGCAGTGTACAAAAAAAAAAATTTGGGAGAAAATAATAATAATTTTTAGTAAAAATAAATACAAAATTGATTAATAATGGAATAGTTCATTTAGTTTTCGTTAATCCTTTAAAAAAAAATGAAATATAAAGATATTATAAAATGCTAAATTAGCCCATTAGGTATATTGAATTAATTCATAATAATATTTAAAATTTTTGCCCTAGGATCTAATATAAAATCTAGACTATGGAAGCGCGTATTAAATTCATTTTAGATTCTCTCACAAATATGGAATTTTTATTACTTATTTATCGATGAATAGGGGAAATCGATTAAATTGATTAAATATGTCAACCTAAGAAAATCAGCATTTTGGATAAAAAGTTAGTTCATCAAAATATATACCCACACCATACATGCAAGTAAATAGATCACCTTGCACTGGAGGGGATACGAAATAAAACCCCTCAAAAATCAAAGCTTTTAAATACAACCAATCTCATTTAGAAATTCTGGTTATATGCCAATAAATTACTAAATTTTAAAAATAGCAACTCTTATCAAGTAATTATTACAAAAAATTGCAATTACAATTGAAATTTGGATACTTGATTTTTATGTCTTACTTTAACATTCGAAAATAGATTAATATGCCTTGATAAATTATTAATGTGGGAAATCTAATAAAATATTTATGAATAAATAGAATAAATGATAAACATAATTATTATATTATAAAGATTATATGTAGTATTAAAGGTTGGTATTTCAAAGATTATATTAAAATTATATACAACATTATCATATCTATATTGCCTATTTTATACTATATAATATAAAAATCTCTATGGTATTATAATAAATCTTAAATTAGTTTGGTATTATTATTTTCTTCAAATATCATAATTTTTAAAAACTAACCTAGATATAATAGTGATAATACACTGTGATGCTTTGCTAAGATCTCTGCCTGGACACTCGATATAAGCAAAAGGCTAAAATCCGGATGAATTTGAAATTTTTTTTTAGAAAAGGGAGAGAATTTTTTATAGAAAATATATTTTTCATTATTAACTGCCATAATTGACGTGTATGGTTTAGCAAGCCCCAGTAGTTCTAAATTGACAAATCATAATTGAAATAATATCTAGATATAATAAATATTCATAAAACTTTCCCAAATTATAGAAGAGTGTTTAAACTTTGTTATAAAATTTAATTTACATATAAATGATTATATATTTTAATAAATATTAAAATTGTGTCATGTAAAAAATCTTTTGAAAATTTCATCAAAATTTTATTTCTAAAATAAAATTTTTAATAATAAATTATTTCAAAATATTTTTTGTCTATAGATGTAAACTAATAAAAACTATATTAGGATAAAATTAAACCATCTAGTGTATTTAATTTTAAAATAAGATTGCCAAGCCCCGGGGTTTACCTAACCCCAGTCTCCCCTACATACAAACACGATTAATTTATAAAACGGTTGTAGGAATAGATAGCTATAGAAATTGTAGCTATTTTTTTAGCATCTAAAGTCATTAGTCTTCATTACTAAATAGAATTCCGTTAATAATTCGATAAGTCATTTAAACCACTTAGATATTTATTGTTAATATTAATTAACTTCCTCCCGCATAAATGATTGATTGGCATCTTTCAGCTGGAAGCAAAATCTATTAATTTTTCCTACAAAGAATTTGAAGAAATGAGATTAGAAGTTTTTAGACCATTTTTAACAAATAGTCCCCATTATTTTTTTTTAATATCAGGCAAACTATTGCTTTTTTCAGAAGCTTTAAAATAAATAGTTCTGACAAAACATCTAACACACACCAAGGCTAGATATGACAAGAACTTGAAGCTTTCTAACAAATGGAACAACCCTAACTTTGAATTCTCTCGTAGATTTAATTTCACGTATGCCTGGATTCGCGGGGGGGGGACTAGGGTCTTGCTGTGCCGTTTCTGTAAGCCGATCTTATAATAGAAATTTTACACAAATAATTAAGGCTGTGAGCATTATGGGGAAAAATAGCGATTGACAAACATAAATTAAACCAAATAAAACATACAACTTAAATTTTATTGAATAAAATTGATAATTAGTAGGAATTACATTAAATTACAAGTAAAAATTAAATAACTGGGTGGATATAATAGGAGTCATTTTTAGCCACGGGTAATTATTCGAACACTTGTAAAATTCATTCTTCTTCCTTATTGCTTTTTTTTTAAATTTTACAGACCATGCAGAAACATTCATTTTTCTATTTTACTTAACTTTTCATACTTTATTCTATTTTGAATTTCTTTATAAGGGGATAAGGTTTTTTTTGGTTTGCCAATTTACCTCTAGAAACTCTACTTTATATCGCTTTAGAACTTTTGTATAAGCTAAAAATCTGGGAACAAGCTAAAAGGAACGGTAGGTAATTATAGTATATTAGATATATTATAAAATTTAAATATTTATTTTTTGGTTCAAAAAAAAATTCAAAATTATAATTAGGTGTTAAAATAGTTTTTTGCAATTAACTGCTAATGACTCTTTTCCAAAAATAAACATAGTCCATAGATAACACGCATAAAAACAGACAAATTTGAAGATATTTAGCCCAGGATTAAATAGTTGCGTTTTCTTCTCCCGGTTTGCAACCCGTTTCCGATCTCTCCTATTCATTTTACCTAATTATAGAAAAATATTTATAACAGATGGAAGTAAAACTAGCATTCTTAATTAAATTATTCTTGAATATCACATCACATCACATTTTATTTGATAATGATTTTTATTTATTTTCTACCTGACACTGATATTTATAATTTTTATTAGCGCTTCCTTGGCAATGCAGTTAATTTATATTTATAGCGCATAATGCAGCCAATATCTAAACCATCATGCTCTTGAAAATCTATGAAAAACCCAAATTCTATGAATGGGCGAATCATTATAAAATACCAACTGGTTTTATTTTATCAATGTTAATCACTAACTTTAAAGCCATCTTGGAAAATAAATGTCACTTAATAATTTTCACCTTTAAAAATTCACAAATATAGATATATTATATACATAAAAATTTTATTTTTTTATGATAAAACATTAATATGAGCTTATCATATATATTTTTTTATATTATTTATATTTTTGTAAATTTTTCGGAGGGAGCACCTTAAATTACTATTATAACTTCAAGGGTACTATGTGCCCTCGAACATCACTGGTAACTGGTAATGTAATAGAATACTTTTTTAGAAATAATTAGCGTCCTAAAATATAAAAATTGCATATTTTGGCTAATAAAATTATATTTGATAACTAAAATATATTTGAACAGGTGCGTATTTTGTATTTGAAAATATAAATTAAATCATATACAAAATAAATTTGAAATAGATTGTTTGAACCAAATCGATATGAAGTTCAGTTTAAACCAAATCGATAAGATGAAGTTTAGTTTAAACCTGAATCAAACAGCTCATTTTTAATCTACATAAACAACTAATTTATGTTTATTGTCTAAAAATTTTCTTTTCATCCATAAATAATATTTTTTTTAAATGTCCTAAAATAAATTATTTGTTATTTAATCTAAAAAAAAATCCTAAATATTTATTTTGAAATTTTATTAAATTTTTTTTAGAATAAAATATACGATGATAATTCATACTGAATCATAACTCAATAGATTAAGGTACAACCCATCATTTGTTGATTTATTCATATCTTAGTTTAAAGGATAAATAATTAAAAAAGAGGATATTTATTAAAAATAACCATGGTATTTCGCTGAGAGTATCCATAAAGAATTTTTTTTGGTCTTCGATTGTCCTTAATTCATCAATTTGATTGGGATCATTACCGGCCTGTAAAGATGGTCTTCTAGCCGATCGCTGTTTATGTGTTTTTTCTTGTTCTTCCATCAAAGAAGTATCTTCTGTAGAGGATGAGGGGGTTACATTTAATTTATCTGAGATGTTGTCTGATTCAATAATATCTTTGTTGGCTTTCATTCGATTAGGTTTCATATTTCTGAATTTTGACTTTTTGTAAGATGAAGTAAAACTCCGAGGACTTTCTTTTGAATCTTTTTTTGTATAATATACACAATATATTTTAATAAAATATATATCGATATATTATTACATGTATAAATAATGATCAAATTACCTTTGGTAATAAAAGTGTCTTTATCGGAGGTAGTCAAAATTTCGCTGTTGTAATATTCACCGTTACAATCTCGATTATGCAAATTATTTATTTTCAAAGATTTATCTAATGTAGGAATGCGAAATCTATTTGTCTTATTTCTTAATGCTTCCAAACGATCACTAAAAGGGAAGATAGATGTATCAATTAAGGAACTGCTTTTTGTTTTAATATTTGGAGAATAATGTTCAGGATTTACCATGGAAAATCTTTTGCTATATTCGGTACCATTAGATATTTTATTGTTTTTCTTTACTTTTGTTTTCGTATTATGAATTAATGTCTGGTCAACATTTGGATCAACGGTCTCTTTATACGCAGTTTGAACTCCTAAAATATCCTCTCTCTCTTTATATGCTACCGCGAATTCAGCTAAACTAATCAATCCATCTTTATTTTTATCAATATGGTCATAGATATCATTAATATCTTGCATGCTCAGATCTGGAAAATTATGAATCAAATCTTCTCTCTCGATGAAGCCACTGTGATTTATGTCGCATTTCTGAAACATTTTAACTATTTTATCCCACTTTTTTGTATCACTTGACATCATGACTATTTTCAAACCCTATATAAGTCTAAATTCGAGAAATAACATAATCCATCATTGGTTACAATAATAACGATTATGAAGAAATGATTGAGTTATAAAGCTAAGAAGCAAAATATTTCTAAAGAGATTTACATCTTAAACATTTAAATATCGGAATGATATAATATAGAACCAAATTTAAAATAAAAAAAAATGAATTTAAAATTAAAACAAATTAAAAATGAATCGTTAAAAATTGCAAAATATTATTTCAAAAATAAATAAATATTATTATAATATTTAATTATTGTTTTTAAATATAATATCGACGTTGGTTTAGTTTATTTAGACTTAGAGTTATAAATTATTATTTTTTAACCATATACATTACATTACACTACACAATGACAAAATACTACATTTTTTTGGCTAATAGATAGATTATGGACCATATTTAAAAACTAATTATTAAAAATAAATAAATATATACTTCTCTATTAAACCATGAGTTATACCAGGCCTTAGCTCTTTAATTTTGGCAAATAATTTAATGATAAAATTTATTTAGTAAATAACAAAATTAAAAAAAATATATAAAAAATACGTTAGAAATCATTGATTTTTTTATATAGGGCATATAATATTTATTTAGGTGTTTTTGGATATCAACACTCATTAGCATTTCCTAAATAGAATACCCTAAATTTTTTAATTAAATTTTAATTTCTTACCTTTTACAATAATAATCATTACCCATTATTTATAAACATCTCAAATATAAATATATATATAACAAATAGAATTAAGACTACAGACGAAAAATATAATTAAACGCAAAAAGAATATATACGTTATTATCTAAGGGGGAGGGGCAAGACAGAATTCCTCCGTTAGTTTTTCAATTTCAGATGAGATACATTTTTCCCTAAGCCTTTTTATAAAGATAATATAAGAGCTCAAGGTTACTAAAGTAGATACAATAAAGCATAAACAAGTTTCCAGAATGATAAAAGGTCATCGAATGTTAGATTCCCTTAGATAAAATTGAGTTATTATGACGAGATGAGCGTTACTTTATTTGCATTACCAGTCAGTTTATCCCATTTGAGTTGAGGGGAAAAATTTCAAATAAATGGAATGCGATGTCGCTGAACTCCGATCACAATAAACTAATGTTTTAGGAAAAGCCAGGGATCAGAATCTTTATCTATAAAGGTGGTTCGGCTACTGTTCGGTTACAGTTCAGCTGCTTAAATTTTAAAAGATTCTTGCTTAAACGCTGAGATTTATCAATAAAAGGTCTTAAATTACAATTTATAAATTTTATAACAACGGTTTTACTGTTCAGAAATAATATAGGTTTAGTCTGCTTCTTCTAACGATTATATATAATTCAATTATTGTTTGAAAGATTAGGTTTAATTCGCTATAACCGCTTAGTTAGGCTTACTTCGGGTCCCTGGCAAAAACTAACAAGAAAACAAGTAAATATTTTTTTATTATATATATTTTCAAGTTATAAATTTAGTGTTCTCATTTGAGAGTTACTAAAAGATATTTTTTAAATTTGTATAGATATCATTACTAATTTGTGGAGAAGTTATCTAGACACTTATTATAATGATATACATTGGCGTACTACCCCCCCCCCCCCCCCATGGATTTTTTTTTTTTAAATTTACTAATTTTTTATAAATAATAATTGATCTACAGTATTTGATTATTTTTATATTTTTTTAAAATAAATTATATGACGTTGTATTTGCAGCACTGGAATTTTATATATCAAGCAAGGAAAAAGATTCAACAGATGCTGATAATCTTTTACAGACTATTATTAAGGCACAATTTTTAATATCAATTCAATGTGTTTATTTTTTATTTAATTATACATATGATTAGCAAAATGCTACAAAAAATTGATTTGGATTTAAGGGAGGTTTAGAATAGGGCAAAGGATATTGTTGAAATATTAACAAATATCAGAGAGAATGTGGATGAAAAATTTCATGAAATATATGAGAAAGTAAAGGAGATTGCTAATATGTTTGGGATTGAAATTTTTAAACCTAGAGTAGTTTCTAGACAATCCAATCGCACAAATATTGACGCATCTAGGATTGAGCATTTTTATTCCCCTTATTGATATTTTTATTTTTATTTCAATTAAAGAAAAGATTTATTAGTTATAATTTTATTTTAAAAAGCTATTATTCTCTTTTTTTGCCGGTTGGGTCTAAATTGTTGATTAAACTTGAAACACGAGAGGATATAAATTAAATCTCAGAGTTTTACCCTGATGATTTAGAAGGCTCATATATGGCAAGTCACTTTGTGATGTCGGATTTTGGTAAAAAAATCTTGACAGAATAGAGTATTCTTTGAAACCAAATAATGTTCTGGCGGCCCCTTCCATTTGTAATTGTACTATAGATTCCCTGCCTAATATTAAAACATTATTTATTATTTTAGCTAACTTACCAATTAGTACCTGCACTAATAAAAGGTCTTCTTTCAATTAAAAAGGTTAAAAACCTATTAAGAAATACCATCGGTAAAAAACGTTTATAGATTCGCCCTATTAAATATTTATAAGAAGATTATTCTAGATAAAATTCTATAAGAATTAGCAAAATCTAAGAGAAAAGTAGACCTCTCTTTGTAAATTCAAATCAAAAAATTGCAATATGATTATTTTAGTTTAATATATAATATTTATAATTAAATTTTTTCGTAAAATGAATTCTTAGTTATAACTATTATATAATTTTTGTATTAACTCTTAAAATGCATTAATACTATTTTTAATCAAAGTATTTATATTTTGAAAATAACGGCATATTTATTTAAATATCAATATTTGCATTAGAGATCTGCAAAGTTAGGCCCGGCCCTAATTCTATTTAAAATCTTCGGGTTCGGGCCGGGCCGGGTCTAATATTTTTAAAAAAATTACGGGCCGGGTCGGGTCGGACCTTGGAAATTTTATTAAATATATCTAAATTTATCAATTTTATATCGAATTTTTTATGTAAAATAAAAATTTTTGATTTAATTTTTTGAAACTAAACTCTATATAACATATGTCTTTTATTTTAAGTAATTATAAAAAGTAATTTCTATATTTAAATAAATTCGGGCCTGGCGGGGCCGGTAAATTTATTTAAAATAAGTTTCGGGTTCGGGCCGGGCCGGCAAAACTTTTTTAAAAATATTTTCGGGCCGATAGGCCCGATGCAAATCACTAATTTGCATACTTATATTGTAATTGTTAAATTACATTTTTTCTAAATATAATTTTTATACAATAAAATTTTTACTATTATAATATTTATAAAATATCTACATTTTGAAAATTATTTTAAATAATAAAATAATGATTAAATAAAGGAATGTTATTTATGGTAAAGCAGATATCTGCAAGGCCCTAAGCACGGCCCGGGTTTAGGGCAGGGGCGTATTTTAATTTTTAAAATATACCCGGATCGGGCCTAAAAAATTTTTAAAAAATCCGAGCTGCACCGGGTTAGGGTCAAAGTTAGGGTTATTTAAAATCAAATATTTGAAATCGCCATTATTAGCTAAAAAATTAAAAATAAATAAAATATATTTTAAAAAAATCCGGGCCAGGCCTGAAAAACTCTTTTTTTTTAAAAAAAGCCGAGCTGGGCCTGGCCTTAAAATATAAAACCCGGGCTGGCCTTAAAAAATTTTTGAAAAAAAATCCGGCCCGGACCGTGCAAATAACACCTCTTCAGGTCTCTATGGTAAAGTATTTTTATATAATAAATAAAATCTATAATGAAATACTCTCTAAAATTTTGTTATATGCAAATATTTAAAATAATTTTAACATAGCCTAAGATATAAGCAATTAAATATTCATAAAAAATGGGAGGTTTGGGGGCTTCATGATATGATATTTCTTAAAACTATATGTAAATTTAGATATATAAATTAAATGTTAAATCTTAAATCTTCATGCTAACTAAAGAATATTTTAACTATTGAAAATGGTTTAAAAATTAATTATTCGTTAAGACGAAGAGCTGGATGGTTTTACATTTTTATTAGATTTGCATTTCTTTTCTAATTTTACTCTCATCAAAATTGTCCTATGTTTTAACAAGTCCGTATTTATGGGATGGCAAACAGGAGCCTGGGCACCGTAAAAATTTTTTACACCCACCCTCTTCCAATTTACTTGAGAATTCAATTTTTCACATCTTTCTCTTATGTTGGCCACAATACTAGTACAATACAAAATAAAATCCGATAAAAAAATAATATAAATATCTAATATTTTATATTTATTTTTGAAAACGTTTAATGTAAGTTTGATATGGTTATTGCTATTTTTTTTACATTTTATATGTGAAGTTTTGATTCTTTTCGATGGTTGTATATTATATATTATATTCTGATTATTTATCTTAACTTCTCTCGCAACATCCTCTAATTGTTCTGACGATAATCTTGATCGTCACATTATTCATCTTTGGTTTCTCTATAAATATTAAAATTCAATTCCATAGCTAAAAATATATTTAGATAACGATCATTTAATAGAAAGATAGGAAAGGAAATAACTATATAAATACAAAATTAACTTATCTATATATAGTATCTGCATGTATTATCCAGAAGCTTTAATAACTCTGGTCTTTTTTTCTGTTTCTAGAGTTAACTAGTGCGCCTATAATTAAAATTTTATCTACTATTAAACTAAATCAATTTATCATAAAGAGGAAGATTTATTTTATTAAAATAGAAGTTAATTTTTCAAATCTTTTTTTATCATTATATAATTATATATTAATCTATCCAAGGTTATGTCATCATATTAATTCTATGACATTATTTATGAACCAACTAAAACTAATGTTTAAAATAAATATATAAGATATAATTATTATAATATCTGATATTTACAAATCAATCATGAGACCAAAACACAAAATAAATAATCAAATAGTGAACAGTAACTTTTCTACGATCTACTAGCTAATTGTAATTAGATATTGAATTTTAACCGATATATTAATCAAATAAATTTATTCTTTTCTTTTATTATATTACATATTAAAGTTAATATGATTATTTAAAAAAGAAAATTGAAATGCCAACCA